AAAAAAAAAATAAACTCAGGTCTGAGGGTGGACCGAATTTCATGGGAGCACTTTTAGTTGTTCATGATGTTTGACAGTGTGCATTTGAGGGTGACTTTGACTGCATCTCATATGGCGAATTGAGAATATGACGTGACTGGTCCGGGTAAACATGTTATTGCATTTTTGAAGTAAAACACTTCTTAATCGCTTCCTATGCATACTGGGCGTCACTTAGTGGTGCGATTGAGAAGTATTAGAGTCGAATCTAGGTAAAAGTCAAAGATGCTGATTTTTGAGTTCGGTTTGTCCCATTCTATAACCTCAATGATTGTGCTGTTGGTTGCATCTCTGCGTGCCCCTCGTAAGATTCAATTTCATTGTAACGAAATAAGTCTAATTGACCGAGAAGACTTGTCTTGACAACTGCGCTCTCAGCCAAGAATATCAACTTACTGTTCGCTGAGTTTGAAATACAGTTACCCCTCATTAAGAGCCTGGTGTGACCTGAAAAACATATGTAGCGCAGAGTGGTCCTAGGTCCAAGGACTACTGATATTCTTAAGGGAGGCCTATCCCAAGTGTATCGGGGATTCGAAGAGCAGAGTCAAGAGGGACCAGTTAAAAACCCTATGTTGAGCTCCCACCCCATGTAGTAATCAAAGGTAATCTCCACACTCCAACTTCCGTGTTGCTGAAAATTTTCATAAGGAGTCTTTTGAAGTTTCTTGTCTAGGCTTGGGTGACCTGGTAGTATTCCAGCCCTTGTACGTTCTTCGTGTGGCATGGCAGCTAGACACCGAAAGGGTGCTACAGCAGTATCCCGGCAGTATCCTGGCAGTATCCCGGCCCTCTTGCAACCTTCGGGTGGCTGGCAGCTAGGCCACGAAAGGTTGTTACTGCTGAACGACGAGGATTACCTGACACTACCGAGTTTTGGTCTGGAGGATAATGATTCATTTTAACGATTGTCCATCTGTAGCACCTAGCCACCGTTGTGGTGCCATTAAAGAAGTATGCAGGCCAGTGCTTCTGGTGACTCAACCAGCAGTAAAAGTGTGTCTGCGACGACTGGTTATGGTTTCAAAGTTTCCATTCTGTAGTTTTTTATCCAACTAAAATTTACTAAGCAGTTTTCGGACGGATGTTAGCTCTTTGCTGTACAGCAATGCAGAAGCCTTTTTTCCAGCCAATTAGCCAGGAATCTGCGGAAGCCCGTTAACTTCACTTTTGTGAATGCGCACACGTTACTTGTCCGTCTGTCCATCTGTTTGACCCAGTTTTCAGGATAAATTTGTTTAATTTTGTTGGTTTTAGGTTGATGTTCATTTTCTTTAAAGGTCATCAGACCAGTGATGTGAACCGAGTAATGATGGCCAACATAAAACGCTGTTTGGATTCACCTTGAGATATGACCATTGCCATATTTGTTCGCTGAATTTCTCTGATCCCATTCGAAAAATAACGTGAACCGCACAGTAGATATGAGTTCGTAGTCCAAAATTCGTATTCACGTAAGCTCTTACTTTCTGAGTCGGCAATTGAAAAACGTGATAGGGTACTCGGGTGTTGCGAATTTGATGGTAGGTGGATGTGGCTCAGGTTGAAGTTCAAACAGTCAGGGTGGTGGATGTTGTGGCTGAGGAGTGCCAACGTTTGTTTCAAAATTTCCTAGACAGTTTTAAAGAAGGCGATGTATCGGAATATGTGGAGCGAGCAAAAGAATTGAAGCAGCTTGAGAAGAGCACGCTGGTTGTTGACTTCACAGACATCATAATGGCTGATTCAAAGTTATGCGGCTTGATTCGAGACGAATACTACAGGTTAAATCCCGAGCTGCGCCTTGCCACGAAAAATTTCGTCAACAACCATGTTCCGGATACCCAGAATTCCGGAAGAGAATTTTACGTGGCGTTTGGTGATCTCCCTGGACTCCATCCGATCGTAGACGCGGTTTACGCTTGCGCAGTTTAATTTTGGGTGTCGTGCAGCTCAGCCCGTTCACACAGACTAAGTGCTATCGATGATTATGATGATCTCCATGAACAGCGATGTTGTCGGTTGGAAGCTGGCTTCTGTATTACCAAGTAGACAAGAAAAGCTCCATCAAGAAAAATGACCTATGAGGCACCTGCTTATCCAACCACCTAATCTGTTGTGAGTCCGCGATTGAGTCATTGTGATGCAGCGTTTCCGTTTAAGGGATAAAGGATCTAACGATATGTTGATTCTAGTTTTCGGGATATTTCATTTACTGTTGTTTCTTCGTTCATCTTTTCTGTGGATAACTTGTAATATGATCACTATAGTTTGCACTTCATGACATCTTCATATCAGGCACTCGTTCACTAGAGTCCAAACCAATTCGTGGCAGGGACAATCAAGAGATCGGAGGAATAACTGGACTAAAAGCGCTCGGTGTTCGTGAGCTTTCCTATAGGACTGCGTTCCTCGCATGAAGCGTTGTCCCTTCGAATGGCAGGTATTCCCATCAGGTGAATTTGAAGATTCCGAGGTCATGTCGTATGAAGTCATGTCCAAGCGACTAACAAGTGCAGAACTGGATACAATCTGCAAAATGAGCCAAGATCGGCGTCTCTTTAGCAATCTTTGTAATTCTCTGTTCCTAACAATTCATGGCAATAAAGAAGTGAAAAAGGGCATTTTGTTGATGCTTTTCGGAGGTGTTTCAAAGTTTACGGGAGAAGGTACACACTTACGTGGGCACATGAACGTCTGTTTAGTTGGTGATCCGAGTACGGCAAAGTCCCAGTTTCTCAAACATGTTGAACGCTTCTCACCTCGTGCTGTCTACACCAGTGGTAAGACAAGTTCCGCCGCAGGTCTTACAGCAGCCGTTGTACGAGACGAAGAGTCTTTCGAATTTGTGATCGAGGCTGGTGCCTTAATGCTTGCAGCTAACGGTGTCTGTTGCATCCTTGAATTCGACAAGATGGACATCCGCGATCAAGTTACCATTCACGAGGCCATGGAACAGCAGGCCATCAGCATAACCAAAGCTGGAGTGAAAGCCACGTTGAACGCGCGAACGTCGATCCTGGCTGCTGCTAACCCAATCAGCGGTCGGTATGACCGTTCCAAGTCTTTGCGCCAAAATATTGGCCTCTCTGCGTCCATCATGTCTCGCTTTGATCTCTTCTTCGTCCTGGTTGACGAATGCAACGACATTGTTGATTATGCGGTTGCTCGGTCGATCGTCGATTTGCACATGAGCGTCCAAAGTTCAACTGATGTACAATCCTCGTATTCAGTAGGTGACATTCGACGACATTCGATGACGTGACGACGCAACACCCTGATACTTTTAATGTGTATTTTGTTGTGAGGGAACTTTTATTTTCTAATCATACTCTCAGGCGAGTTGGTCAGTGTCTGCTTACCAAGCTTCTTTGTAATAAAGCATTGGGGATTATGGGGTGGCTAATGCGGTGTAAATTGCACCTTTACTGGTGTATGGGATCGAAATAACGAGATGCTTCCTCGTTGTAACCAGTTGGGAATCATGACCGCATTTGCCACATATTAGACCAATGCTATGTAATTCATTTAATATTTCGATGTGAGCAGGCGTGTCGCTGCTGATACTCTTCTGGGTTTCCTAGCAATCAGTTGGTCTCATAGTAATTCAGCTACAAACTGTGTATCCCGGCCGCTACTAATCCGTTCGTGCGAACATGAGGAGGGGACGCATCGGAGGCGGGGGCCTAGCGACCTCAAGGAGGCCTGATTTCGCAGACTTTTCCGGGTGGTTTCGGGTAGTTTGCTTTAGTGGTCCTAGGGCGCGGTATTGTCGGCATTTGCAACCTTCCTGGACGAATGTTTCGGAATCCTTTCAATCACCGAGGTGCCCGGCCCTAAAAGGAAGCTTCAAGTGTATACTCGGTTGATATCAGGAATCGAACTAGCATTCTTATTCTATTTTCGATGTATTGATTTTCCTCCGGCTGTGTTTTTTCACCCATTCATAATACTGTAACAGTACTGTGCTACATGGCTTTTTCTAGCTGTGCAAATATATTGATTGGCCTGCGTATCGCTATTTTCGTCACCACAGTATGAGTTTGTATGATCTACTCCTCGGGAATAATGTTGATGATGTGGTGGTTATGCCATCCACATCGATCGCTTGGTCTCATCCTGTTGGAGTCTCAGCGTTGTTGTAGGTACACCTAGCGATCTCACTACACCGTTCGTGTGGCAATGACGTCGGAGCAGTGTGTAACACATGAAAGCCGGATCCTCATTTTGGATGATTTGGCAGTATGAGGGTCTGCCACTTCAAAGCAGAGTTACCCATCGATGAAACCTGAATGATTTAAGGACGATTTAGGACGATTGTATGCTCGTCATACTGATTAAGTCCTTCCTAGCTTGCATTGAAAGCCAGTGAGTCTTCACTGCGAATGGTGCACGCATTGCTACAGTTGCTTATCTAAGGACACATCGTATTCCTGCGTCACAAACATTTAATCTGACGTGTACCGTTTCCCTCCTACAAATTAACTGAATAGGCCGTTACGCACCTGTATAAAGAAAACCCTTATCTGTGTTAACCGAGTGAAAACATTTGAAATCACATCCCTCAGTGTCTCCTTCATTCCTTCCCACCAGGTGTGTGGTCCTGACAAACCTTATCTCAATCCGAACGATCTGGAGATCGCCCATTCTCGTGCCTTTCAAGCTGCCATTCAAAAGTTTACCAGTATTCGAAAAATGGGTGGTGAACAGTATGCTGCCATCTATCTGGAACGTTTAAAGACAACCCTACAGCAATTGGGCAACGAATACCGTACTGCCAACACAAACAAGAACATCTTCCAGGTGCGTGGTTCAGACAAACAACCGATTTTTACCCCAACCATTCGTTTATTCGACCCGCGGTTCACGTTTCATTTGTGTTTTTGAAATCTTTACATTCATCACGCTGTTTTCGTACAACCAACGACCATATGGTCTTCCATTACTCCTCTTCAGTTTGACTACAATGCCAGTCATCGATTGTTGGTCTGAATCATTGTGTGGTGTCTTCTGACAGTGATGCCACGGACAGCTCCGGTGCGTCACCATATCCGTTAGTTCAGTAATTGGCGCCGAATCAGGACGATCAGCTGAAATTTAAGGTACACCACAGGAAAAGAAGACCACACCAATCCTGGATAAACCTCTGCTTTCCGAAGTGTTCTTTCACCACTCTCTCCAGACTGGTCCTATCTCTAAAACATTCCCATGCATTCTTTCTGAAAAGAACGCCTCAGAGTATTAGTATTGTAGTTACTACGTACTGAGGCGGCTGTTCAGAATACTTGTCTGCGTGGAAGTTGAATTAATACGTTCCTGTTTATCCGGCGGTCGCTCTCGAGTTTATTGATTATTGTCACGTTACTTAATTAAATTCCATTTTTCGTACAGCACATCCTGAAGGAATTGAAAGAATTATCAAAAAATGTGTTGGACCACATAGAAATTCCCTCCTGACAGTTGACGCAAATGAGCTTTTTCAGTGTTATCTTTGTTAACCCGCTCATTGGCGTTTGGGAATAGGCAATTTGACTGACCTCTCCCTGCACCAATGAATTATTCGTCAAAAATGCTCATGAGACGTTTATCGCTTGGATCCCAATGAAAGTGGGTTGCATATTCGCCGGGAGTTTCATGGAGGACCTCGTATGATTTTGTCAGGCCAGCCAGCTTATGATTTTAATCACTGGGATTGGTGCATAGCAAACGGTGCCCACAAACACGTTTCAGTGGATCGTTCCAACTCGGATTCGTATGGCGCCTAGCAAGACACGTAGTAGCTGCCGTGTGAAGCGAAACCCAACGATTTGCCAAGTATGGACCATACTCATTGGCCCTTCAAGCAACGGTATGAGCTGATATTTCGATATATATA